AGGATACACCAGTGTACGAGGTGAGGAAGAAGTCAGGACAGGGTGGTATCAGGAGACTTCACAGGAACCTGTTAAGGCAGTGCAATTCTCTACCTGTAGAGTCCGGACATAAGGAGAAGAAAAAGCCCTACCGGTTAAAACAAACCCCCAAACCAGCAGCCCCAGTCTATGATGCTGATGGCAGCTCCTCTGATTCTGATGGATCTATTGATTTTGGAGGGATCTCCTTAAATCCACATGCAGAACCGTTTGTGCCTCAACAGCATATTACAGAATACGATAGCTCAGACTCGGTGGTTGAAGTAGAGAATCCTAGTGACTCTCATTGGGAGGAACCTGTTGTGATTTCTGACAGTTCTGGTGACAGTTTCAAGTCAGCCAATAGTTCAGATAGACAATCTGATATTCAGAATGATCAGGAAGACCCAAACTCTGATGAAAGACATGAGGAGCCAGGTGTTGACGAAACCAGTCCGACTGAAGACAATCATTCAGAAAGACCTAGGAGAACAACCAAACCTCCCAGGAAGTTTACATATGATCAGTTAGGGAAACCATCATATGTACAGATCATTACACCAGATTTTGAAATTTTTGTGTAGATTTTCACATATTAGTAGACTGTCATGTTTTACAGCTCTAAGGGTAATTACCCTTGTGAAAAATTTTGTACTAGTATATGTATAATGTTATGAGTGATATGAATCACATACTCAGATTATAGCTTTTATCAAGTATAGTCAAACTTTATTAGTTAATGGTTGTTATATGGGCCGGTATATGTATGCGGCAGAGTATATGTAACCTTAGTGTCTAGTTTTATGTATACTTAGGACATTTTAGAGTGTCTGTCTGCAGTTTGGCCAGTTGTAGACATTTGAGTATAATAGAGCAAGTCGCATATGTGTGGTGTTAAAGGGTCTATGTAATGATCATGAATTGTTCTGTGGAAAACAGAAGTCGGATAATGTTGCTTTATTTTAATTACAAAGAGTGTTTAATTGTAATTGTTAATGTCGGGACGACATTCAATTTTGGAGGGGAGTGTGTGACGTAGTTTATATTGGGTTTCAGCCACCCCCATTTTTTTTGTATAATCTATCAGTTTATATAGTTTATATATCATATTGTTATATAATTTATGATCAAAGAGAGGTAACTCTTGGATTTGTATAAATCCGGAATGTGGGGTATATTTTGGGTTGGACTTTATAACTACTGAAACCCGCCAAATAAACATAACGTGTTTCACCTCTCCTGTTCTTTATAGGTAAGAACTCAAATTTATACATGTTAAAATGTTTGTAACTGTTTTCTTGATATATAATATGTTTGATATAAAACATTTGTTCTTCGAAATATTGTGATTAGGTGAATTTCAATGTATTAGTGAATATTTTGATGCAGCAGCATGGTCTAGTCACGTGGTTCGAGTTCAGTGTAAAGTCTTTATTTTGAGTTTAAACAATAGTAAACCAATTATATGTATAGAATTGTCATGTTTATTATCACGGAAAGTATTAGCTAAACGTATAGATTTGATTTCCCAACGAATGTATAAAATTTCAATTGTTTCCGGAATTAGTTGTTTTGCTCAGTTTTGAGTCATGTATTAGAGTTTGTAATCTGTTTCCGGTTTGAGGCAAAACGTAAACAAATACTGTTGTGAATGTGTTTTGGCTGTTTTGGACATATAGATATGGTATTATTGAATATTTTATTGATAAATTATCAAACGAAAGTTGCTTGTTACATGTTTTATTCTAGTCAGTAATATTTTGATGTCATAGTAAATTAGTTATTGTAAATCCCCTAGACCAAATGAGTGCATGTATATGTAATAATGTATATGTTGTTTGTTCGACTATATAACTACTGAAACCCGCCAAATAAACATAACGTGTTTCACCTCTCCTGTTCTTTATAGATTCTGCCAGGCCAGGGTAACACTTACCACAAACAAAAAATGGATGCGCGGGTTGATATATATTTTTTGACTGATTTTGATTTGAAATGACATAAATAATTAATAAATCCCTGAAGTATTAAGAAATCGTAGGTTTTCCTCGGTGCTTAGATATGAGATTTTGTTTTGCTTTCTATATAATTCCATACAAAATTTTGCACAATTTTTTAACCTTAAGACAAAATCTTACATAATTCTCTCACTCTACTTGGTGAACATTATTCAGGATGTCAATTTAAATGTAAATCTATGAAAAATAATGCTGATTTCTGAAAAAAGTTTGTTTGTGTTATTTATCCTTAAATAAAAATTATTCATTTTTGTAGATTTATGGGGTATAAATGTCAACTTTTTACAAGACAATTTCTATGACTTCAAAGAATTTTTAATCATATTGAGAAACGTGAAAATTAATGCATGGAAAGACCAGTTTCAAGCTTCATTTTAAGACTTTCTTAATTAAATAACTATTTTAAGTGTTTTTTCCTTGCTGAAGAGTGTATATCCTTAAAACTGAAAGATTAAAAATTATTCTTAATTTCGTCCATGAATTATAATTTTCTTCAACCGTTTGAGTTCTTTGTTCTCGATGTATAAATTTTTAATGATCCGTTTTGCCGTAGCTGCAGATCTGTAGCTCTCCGAAAATATATATTGATAGACCGGAAAGCTACAGAGCCACAGATTGAAGAAACTGTATATTTATTGCGCACACAAAAGTGCGCTAGGTTCTTGATTTATTCTTCCAAATTCTTACCTCAGTTGCAAAAAAGGAACGATTTCAAAATATCCCTTTCTCCTCTATCAAGTACGCTCGTAGTTGACATCTGAACGAAGCATATTGGACCGAATTATCTTTGAAATCAAAATGGCAGTATAAATAAGCGAAATGTTCTATGATTACAATATCAGGGTCAGGACGACTATTAACAACAATTATGAAGAATGTTTGGTCGTGGAAACAGCGAAAGAATATGTTAGGAACACATGGTTAGTAATATTTTGAGATCACAATTTTAAAAACATGGAAAAATAAATCAAGAACTGAACGCACTTTTGTGTGCGCAATAAATATACAGTTTTTTAATGGGTGGCTCTGTAGCTCTCCGATCTATCAATATATATTTTTTCGGAGAGTTACAGATCTGCAGCTATTTTTGCCGAAGATCATATAAAAAATACAAAGAGACAAACAGAAAAATTCTTTTCTTTATCTTTTCTTAAAAGCAAAACAATTCTAGCAGTGGTTGGAGAGTCTGCTCTAGAGTCGCGAAGTAAGGAGTTGATCCTCACGTCGTGGGTTCGAATTCCTACTATGGGACATGGAGACCGGTCCTTCGGATGAGACTGTATAAACCGAGGTCCCGTGTCGTGGTAAGTGCTGGCACGAATAAGATCCCTGGCTGCTCATTGACCTGAGTGCTGAGTAAAGGCCAAAATTTGCAGCTCTCCACCGGCAAGTGGTCGCGTATCCATATGAGTGAAAAAATCCTCGAGAGAACGTTAAACAATAAACAATCAATCAATAAATCAATCAATATATGTAATACAATTCTACTTTTTTCGATCAATTTTAATACTAGCTGCAATAATGTAGCCCTCTCCGATTTTTTGCATCTGATGTTTTCTAGACAATTCCATAGCATCCGTAATGGTGCAAATATATTTTTTAAATACGGGCGATTGAAGGCAAAATAAATTATTTTTACATTCAACTTACTTCTTATAAGACTGAATTTTTATTCACTGTCAACAACATAGCCTTCTAAACTCGAAAACCATGTAAAATATATCTGCATGTTTACCAGCAGCAGCCATGACAGTTCACGCGTGACGTACTGAGACTTTCGCTTGAAATTTGGAACAACTAAAAAAAGCAAATATCGATGTTTATAAACGACTGCGCTGAAATGTATCACAATAATATCGATAAATAAAACAATTTCAAGTGTTATTTTTACGCAAACAGCGATATGTATGTTTAAAATAAGGGAATTCCTAAAAGATCCGCTCCTATAGATTCTAAATTTTCATTGGCTGTCCGAGAATAAAATCTATCAAGGTCAGTAAACATGGCGGAAAAATTCAAGGTGTGATGTTGACATACACGAAAAATAATCGATATATGGGTCGTTGTGAATATTTTTGAATCGATTATGTCTTGCATAATTACTTTTTTTGGAGTCCAGGTAAGAGATATTAAGGTCTTTAATCCCTTATAGGAAGAAATTTAATGAAATTGAAGACATAACAGATATGTAGGCATTGACTACTCAGTTTATTTAGACATACTTCCCATTTATTACTATAAGTGTGTTTAGTGGGATGTGTCCTAATTCATGACCTTGAATTTTGGCAAGAGTTATCTCCCCTTTTTAATTAATAAAAAAATTCAATTAAAAAAAATTTAGCTGGTAAAAAAAGTGTTTTCAATTATCGTTCTATTTATAATATTTCAATGCATCTTTCCACCACAGGGTTTAGTGATATTCAAATTATTTGAATTTTTATCTTGAAAAAACGCTTTTCCTCATAGACTTCAATGCAATCTTTGTTAATTAACTACTGCTTAATTAATGAACTTTTTGAAAATTTCTCGTGGGCAATCCTTTTCCACTATAAAATGCTTTAATATAATATCAGAGTATTGTGTACTTTACGGACATTTAAGGGTAGAGAATTAGGTACCATTAGGGATTGGATTCCTTAATAATATAGCCGTTTACTGATGATTTGAGCCGAAATCCGTGCAGGAGCGATTCACTGCAGCATTTGCACCATTACGGAGATCCTAAGGAGTTGTAGCCCTCTCCCAAAAAAAAAAAAAAAAAAAAAAATCGGAGAGTGCTACATTATTGCAGCTATTTTAATACGACACCAACATTATATTTTTCTTAAATGAATGATATTTAATACCGAGGAAGGGCCTTTGGATATATTTTGAAAGTCACAATAAATAAAGAAATATTAATATTCTGTTACGAAAAGGTATATTAAGGTTTATTTCGCTAGATAAGCAAAAAGTCAATCTTACCAATCCAGTAGTTTGTAGAGGGATCCCCAAATCCTTGTTTATATTCTCGCCAAGTTCGGTAAAAGTCTGTTGATCCGTCCCGTCTTCTTTGTATTGCCTTGAACACATTAATAACGTTGGATGGATAAAATATATTTATCTAGTTATTTAAATTTCTTGAATATTAACAAGTACTGTAGATTATATATGTTTTAAAAGAAAAATTCTTAAAATCCAAATAATTTATCTCTTGTTGTACAGTGCAATTTGTAAATGTATGTTCATTTAATTTTCATGCAATTTGAAAGCATTCTTTCCTTACACTTAATGAGGTTAATTGAATACTGAGGATTAATGGCAATTCAAGATACATGTATAACCTTGGTTGGAAGAGATATTTTATACTACTCACCCTCCTCCATCAGAACTTATGTCACAGTAAACAGACCATACTACTGAGTCTCACACTCACCGTTCACCCTCCTCCATCTGTACTCGTGTCACAGTAAACAGACCTTACTACTGAGTCTCACACTCACCGTTCACCCTCCTCCATCTGTACTCATGTCACAGTAAACAGACCTTACTACTGAGACTCACCCTCACCGTCCACCCTCCTCCATCAGTACTCATGTCACAGTAAACAGACCTTACTACTGAGTCTCACACTCACCGTTCACCCTCCTCCATCAGAACTTATGTCACAGTAAACAGACCATACTACTGAGACTCACCCTCACCGTCCACCCTCCTCCATCAGTACTCATGTCACAGTAAACAGACCTTACTACTGAGTCTCACACTCACCGTTCACCCTCCTCCATCAGTACTCATGTCACAGTAAACAGACCTTACTACTGAGACTCACCCTCACCGTCCACCCTCCTCCATCAGTACTCATGTCACAGTAAACAGACCTTACTACTGAGTCTCACACTCACCGTCCACCCTCCTCCATCTGTACTCATGTCACAGTAAACAGACCTTACTACTGAGGCTCACACTCACCGTCCACCCTCCTCCATCAGTACTCATGTCACAGTAAACAGACCTTACTACTGAGGCTCACACTCACCGTTCACCCTCCTCCATCTGTACCCATGTCACAGTAAACAGACACTCACCGTCCACCCTCCTCCATCTGTTCTCATGTCACAGTAAACAGACCTTACTACCTAGACTCACACTCACCGTCCACCCTCCTCCATCATTACTCATGTCACAGTAAACAGACCTTACTACTGAGGCTCACACTCACCGTCCACCCTCCTCCATCTGTACTCATGTCACAGTAAACAGACACTCACCGTCCACCCTCCTCCATCTGTTCTCATGTCACAGTAAACAGACCTTACTACCTAGACTCACACTCACCGTCCACCCTCCTCCATCATTACTCATGTCACAGTAAACAGACCTTACTACTGAGGCTCACACTCACCGTCCACCCTCCTCCATCTGTACTCATGTCACAGTAAACAGACACTCACCGTCCACCCTCCTCCATCTGTTCTCATGTCACAGTAAACAGACCTTACTACCTAGACTCACACTCACCGTCCACCCTCCTCCATCATTACTCATGTCACAGTTAACAGACCTTGCTACTGAGGCTCACACTCACCGTCCACCCTCCTCCATCTGTACTCATGTCACAGTAAACAGACACTCACCGTCCACCCTCCTCCATCTGTTCTCATGTCACAGTAAACAGACCTTACTACCTAGACTCACACTCACCGTCCACCCTCCTCCATCATTACTCATGTCACAGTTAACAGACCTTACTAGTGAGGCTCACACTCACCGTCCACCCTCCTCCATCTGTACTCATGTCACAGTAGACAGACCTTACTACTGAGACTCATACTCACCGTCAACCCTCCTCCATCAGTACTCATATCACAGTAAACAGACCTTACTACTGAGACTCACACTCACCGTCCACCCTCCTCCATCTGTACTTATGTCACAGTAAACAGACCTTACTACTGAGGCTCACACTCACCGTCCACCCCCCTCCATCTGTAGTCATGTCACAGTAAACAGACTTGACCTCAGAGTTTATTGTTATTTTGTATACTCCGTCTCTTCCCCTTAGACTCGGGAATGTCAGTAAAATTTCCCAGCAACTACCATAATCATTAGAAAGCACTGGAAAAAAGATATTTTGATTTGTGAAATGTATGTATTTATTATTATGTCAGATATACAAGCAATTTTCATTTACACAGTATTTTTTTCAAACCGATTGCTTGTCAATTATTTATGCACTAAATTCACAACGAATTTTTCCAGTGTTTCCCAATCTTGACAAGGAACACACAGCGGTTGTGACCGGTCGTCAGGGGATGCTCACTCCTCCATGGCACCTGATCCCACCTTTGATATTTTAGAGGTCTGTATTTGTTCTGCCCTTATTATGTATTATTCTATAGATTTTTTAAATCTTGAATACTGTAAGTTATCTCCATATGTTTCGCTTGCATATGTCCTGTTTTCATACCCCTAACAAATAATTCTTAAGAAAAATTCAGTTAATTGTAAACAATACTTATCAATTGTAATGATAACCTTTGACACTGTGATGCTATTGTGATAACTTTGTAAACATTGTTTTACTTCACATAATGATAAGTTTCTCCTTGATTTACTTATTCATACATAGTAATCTATAGTTTAGTGTAGTATTTTTTCAAAATATAGACAAGAATAAAATCTGTTATGTATAAATTCGTGCTACAGGAATTCTTATGTAATGAACATATTGACAGACCCCGGAAGTATACATTTAATCTTATATATCATATTTTAATGTTAATTAAAAATACATGTCATTGTATAAATGAGGGCCATTAAATCTTTAAAACTTACTGAACTGTTATGCAACATACACTGAATGTTCACGTCATAGAAATAGAAATTTACCATTTCCCCGCAAGCACCTTTTTGAATGGTACGCGTTTCTCTAAAGTTTAGCGTAAATAATATTCTGAAGTTATATTTTAATACAAAAATAACTTTTCCTATTTTATGAGATTTTTGCAAGTATAAAATAGAAGGAAATTGGCATTAAATTAAAGATTAAATAAACTTTTTAAAGTGCGTGATTGCGGGGAAACGGTATATGCGTGATTTTGCGTTAGAAATAGGAAATGGTATATGAGTTAAAATGCGTGACTGCGGGGAAAGGGGTTAATTCCAAGGTTTTTTTTTAAATATAGAAATATTTTTCATTTTCTGTGTTATTCTACAAAGCCAAAATGTATAATTGATTTTTAGTCATCTTTGTGTATTCCTACGCATGTAAATATACACAGTAAAACTCACGCTAATATGACTTCACAATAAGACTACAGAGAACGTAAACAGAAACGATATAGGGAATAGACTTGAATGTAGGCATTTCTTATGAAGCGCGCTAGGGGAAGTTTAATTGTGTGATTTACACACCAATAATTCATAAAAAGCTAAAAAAAAAAATCATTCTTATCTTCATCAAAGATACCAGGGTAAATTTTCGAGTTCAATTTTTATTGAAAGAACTTTTAAGTTTTTAATTATAAGCTGTTGATCTTGGTGGAATCTTGTGATTTCAAATCGTCCATATGGAAATACTAATATTTCTTTATTTGCGGTCCGAATTGTCACTGATAATATATTTTTTTAGAAAAAATAAATATGAATGTATACAGTCTCTGAAATAAAGATTTATATGAATGTGACTTTTCTAAAGGCTTGTTTATTTCTTTCCCTCTAAAAGGCAAAATGAACTTATGTATATGTTATCATACCTTTTGACAAGATCTCATTCGATTCATTCAGATCCTTCTTAAAACTATCTAGAGCTTCTTTTACAGCTACCGAGAAATTTTCTATTTTTTCCTCATTGTTTTTAACACGTTCGGAAATTCTTATTACACTGCTTTTCTGTGATGTTGAGTTCATTCCATCCATTTGGTTTTTGAGATCCTCAACTTCTTTTGCCAATGCACGATCATTGCTTTTGAAAACCATACTTTTATTACCTATATCATCATCAAGTTGTTTTATTTTTTCTAGGTGAGTTTTAGCAAAGTAGATTTGCGATTCGTTTAGAACGTTTATTTTCTCCATTGTGCTTTGTTCCTTCATTTTCAATGTCTGTATTTCTCTCCTCAAGTCATTTTCGATTTTCTTTTTAAACAAATCAAGCTGTTTTTCGAAATCTGCATTTTTCATAGCTATTCTGTGATTTTCATTTTGGAAAGCTAACGTGTTTCTTTTAATTTTCTGGTCAAGAGATTGAATTTCTTCCTTTGTAAAGTTTCGATTAGTATTCATCGTACCGTGGACAACCCTCAATTCCTCTTTAAGTTTGGCGTTTTCTTCCTCCATTTTCTGGTTTCTAGTCTTCAAGTCCTGAATTTCTTCTTTTGTTTCGTTTTTATTGTCATTCACCGTGTTGTGAATGACCTTCAATTCCTCTTTAGATTTGACGTTTTCTTCATCCACTATTTGGTTTCTGGTCTCCAAGGCCCGTAAGTCTTTCGTCACTTCACTTAGCTTCGTCATTATAATTTGCCTATCGTTTTTGTTGTCTATGGCATCCATTACTAAATTCTGTATTTTTTGTACCATTGAAAAGCGGACCAAACTTTCTTGATTCAAAATGTCCCGTAAGACGTTGGACACTTTTCCTGATGCAGTACTTGACAACAAACCATTGTTGTCAGAAGTTTTGTTTTCAAGTAAAGATAAATGGCCAAATGTTCCATATATGCACAAAGAGAGAATTAAACAGTGTACGTGTAAAGCACCCATCTTGTCCGAAAAATTAACAACTGATGCTTCGAGATAGCTGTTTATATTGTGTTCACCAATGAGTATTAGTAATCTTAGGGCCAAAAAACTTAGCAAATAAGTGTTTTCCTTAAAAATATGACTAGCCACTTGTCTTGATTTCAAAGTGACAAGATACCCTTGTACGAAATGAAAATGTTATCCTGACTGGAATTACTAATGGCTATGTATTTAATGACTAATATTGAAAATAAGTGTTTTTGGCTGAAAAACTGATTTGTTACTTGGCAAACATTCAAGTAACAACTTAATCTTTCTCGAGTTAACATTATCTGTAGTATAACCACTTTTGATAATATACTTAATGCCTAATATAGAAATTAAGTGTTGTTCACTGAAAAAATGACATGGCACTTGTAATTGAGATAAAGGTTCACAACTTCATACCATTAAAAGCTTTTCCATCTATGGTATTATACAACCATTTCTATAATAAGCTTTATTTTTTGGGTGAAGGCAAGACATCTCTGGTTTTGATATTAAAAGGATGCTGAATTTTTTCGTTGACAACCTTCTATGTAGTTTTTGGAAACCAGGTCTACCTGCTGGCTGTTGGAATTTCGATCTTTACTACATGTACTCCTTTACGAACAGATTTGAATTTATATTTCCATCAAGTAAAATTTATTCTTTATTAGAAGAAGAAAACTCTTTCTGTGGCCTTTCAATGAGATATTTAGGTATGAAAGCTTCGTTTTGGGAACATAATAAGGAGACTAATTGTTCAGAGAACAATTTTAATTTTAATTCAAAGAACAATTTCAGGCCTTTGCAGCTTCTTGAGTGTTTTCATATATATCATTTGCTGTCAGAAAAGAAGAAAAAGGCAAGAAAATAAAACAGCTAACTTCTCCTTTTTCTACAACAGTGATTTTAACATAGAGCTCAAAGTTGGTTTTCAGATCATTTTTTTTTTTCAAATTTTGAGTTCAAAAGGCATATTTTTTTTTTACAATGGTAAGATAGAAACTTCTGAAAGAAAGAATATATACACTCAAATAAACATGCGCACAAATGTTATGCAGAAAAACAAAAAACCAAAGAAAAAAAATAAAATAAAATGTATTCAAAGAACACATATAGTATAATCAAAATATCATCTTGAATGGTCTTCTGTCTTAAAATTTATTTAATGCTGGTTTTGTTTTCATAAGTGACTTGTTCAACTTCGATAATAATTTTAAGCCTAGACAATTTTAAAGATCTTGGTGTAAAAACAAATTTTGTTGAATTTTCTGGTTTGAAACAGGCTGTGATAGACAGATTTGTTAACAAAGACCAAATGAATGTGGTGTATATACGGACCAAAATACCCAGTTATATTAATATGAAAGATTGTAAAGACATGTATGATTAATAGAACGAAAGAAACGAGTACTTCAATTTTAAAACGGAATAAAAATGGATATCTAATTACAATGTCTGATTGGAGTAAAGTTGTTGAACTTCCATTTAAAATTACGCAAAAATCAAAACTTCAGTGGCTACAATTTCAAATTTTACATAAATAGTTCTTACAAATCTATGTCTTTTTAAACTTAAGATAAAAGAGTCACCAGCTTGCAGTTTTTGTAAGTCTGACATTGATATTGAACACTTTTTTCTTGAATGCTATTTAGTAAAAGAGCTATGCCTCTATATTATTTTTTTGTTTCTCTCTTATTTTTTTCTCTCTCTCCTTCTTTATCTTTCCTTCTGTATAAAAACAACTTACTCATTGGTTTGTGTGTGTGTCTTTATGTAGGTGGTATATCTGTATACGGTATTTATAATAGGTACCTGAGTGAAGATATATGTATGAATATACTTTGTATACTAATTTGATATACTAGTAATTTTGAGAGTTGATATAAAAAAACATGTTTACACACATGTATACATACATATATCTTATATAATCCATACATTCTAGTACTTGTAGATGCAGGAGTTGGGGCTATCAGATTGCAATTATGTGATCAAAAACCTTGTATTACCTACATATACAGGTATACAAATAAATGTGTCTAGAATATTTTATATTAACATTATATATACAACTAGATAAGAAACTCGTTGCGAGCAACGAGAGGTCTTCCGTCCGATTCTGAAAAAAAAACCTAAAATCGAGCTGAAAAAGTGATAAAACTTTTTATGGAAACAAAGGGGATTGAACCCGGGTCGCCAGCATGAAAATCCAAACCTCTTACTATTACGCTATTGGGACCACAGGTCTAAATCTACTTGTATATACTTCTGAAACAGTACATCTGTCTTAGAATAATGAAAGGCGGTCACTATTCGTAATTTTGAGTCAAACGCCACAAGTAAATCTTCGCGCCTTTTCTTTGGAATGTCCCATTAAATAGGTGTGATAGCTTCAATGCAAATAAAAAAGAACGTTCTTATAACTAAACTTTCAAGGTAAAGAAATTGTTTTTAACACATTTACAAATTCTATGACGTAAATAGATAAGTAACATTAAATCAGCGAAACTCCTATTTTCTGTTTATCCCCATACTGAACTATCCTGATTAGTTAAAGTTTCATGAAAAGGTTGTCAAAAAATCAGATACCATTTATGTTCAATAACTTAAATCTATTTTTTGAGACAAGAATATTAATATAAACTCAATTCTTCTAAAAACAGTTTTCTTATATTTGTCTTTCCTATTAGTTTAATATGACTCAAGTGTGCATGAGGAAAACAGTGGATACGTTTAATACTTATTATATACATCGATATTGTTTCTTAAAACTATTATTTGTATCTATGATTTAAGATCTGTTTTTCCGCAAAACAAATGATAGTAGGTATGTATTTCATTTGCACATTTAGTCTTTTCTTTTTCTACTATGAGAACCAGTCAAAACCAATTATAGAAGACGTTTGATACGACCATGGATTCAAACTTAGTTTGACACAGAATTGCAACGTAACTACATCGTGACAATCCCCGTATTCCTTTACATTTCATTTATCCTTATTTACTGTCGTTCAAGCAAACGCTTGGCTGCCTCTGAAAACCCCTATTGCTAAATGTCGGAGTTGACATAGGCAGCCGCCATATTGGACCCGCTTCAGATTTTTAAATGTTAATATCTAGAGTTTGGATTTATCAATGTTCAAACAAATTATATAGTAAGTATTGTAAGAACGGTTTCTATTAACATTCCAAAAATAAATGAAAAATATTGAAAAACAAAAAAGTTAGAAAATACGGACTTTTTAAATTCGCTTCCGCTAGCGACCGGAAGTACTGACGACACACGAAAAGGTGATTCGTCACATTTTATAGTCATCATCTTTCATCTCTAACAAGTCTCCAGTTAATGTCTTAAACCATTTTCGAAAAAAAGGGGGGACAAAATTGCATTTTAAAATCAGAAAAGTGTCAATAACTTGGAACCAAAGGTGAGTATTCCAAATTTTCCTTGTCATGCCACAACTACATATAATGGCGAATAATTCCTGAAAGTTTCACTGAAAACCACTGAATAGTTTTCGAGAAATCGCGTGCACAAAATTTTGGGGGAAAAAATAAGAATAATAATAATAACTAGATGCGTTCTTGTTGCTGGGGCAACAAGCAGGTCTTCCGACCGACTTCTCTTTTGCAATATATGCTGTGTCATCCCATGGAATAGATTTCTTAATGAATTTTTTGCATTTAGGTTCATTTACAGTAGTTTCTCAACACAGATCGTGATTGGTCCAGGTATTTCACGAAATATCTCCAAATATAGCTTTTAAAAATCGGCAAAATCTTCCACACATGTTATAAAAGAGTGAAAAGTAGTTTGCAACTGAGAAAAGACAAAAACAAAGAAAAAATTTGGGGAACGCCCCGAGCGGGATTCGAACCCCCGACAGTAAGACAAAGTTTGGTTCGGTCATATCTTTGCAACAAACGCACGCATGAAAAAAATGAAAACATATATAGATATCGCTGAAGACGCTCTACAAAATCTGTAAATCCAAAAGAAAAATATTGAAAAACAAAAAAGTTGAAAAATTAGACTTTTTGAATTCACTTCCGTTTGCGACCGGAAGTACGAACGACAAAAAATGAAGGACGTTCGGCACATCTACATGTGATGCTCTTTCATGTCCATCAGTTTCAATGTCATATCTTTAGCCGTTTTCGAGAAAAGTTGTGTACAAAAATCCATTTAAAAAATACAAATTTCCCCCAAAATCGCGAATGAAAGCAAATTTTGAAAAAATGAAAAACACGTCTGGAGATATTAACCTGATGCATCTTTCCTGTAAAAATCTTTGAAATCCGTACAGTCACAGCTGAGATATCGCCATAAATATGAAAAAAAGAATAATAATAATAACTAGATGCGTTCTTGTTGCTGGTGCAACAAGCAGGTCTTCCGACCGACTTCTCTTTTGCAATCTAGTCTGCGTCATCCTATGAAATAGTTTCCATAATGTATTTTTTTGTTTACGTTAAATTACAGCAGTTTCTCAACACAGATCGTGATTCTTCCAGGTATTTCAAAAAATATCTCCAAATATAGCTTTTAAAAATCGGCAAAATTTTCCACACATGTTATAAAAGTGTGAAAAGTAAATTGCAACTGAAAAAAGACAAAAACAAAGAAAAAATTTGGGGAACGCCCCGAGCGGGATTCGAACCCGCGACAGTAAGACAAATTTTGGTTCTGTCATATCTTTGCAATAAACGCACGCATGAAAAAAATGAAAACATATATAGATATCGTTGAAGACGCTCTATAAACCCTGTAAATCTGAAAGAAAAATATTGAAAAACAAAAAAGTTGAAAAATTAGACTTTTTGAATTCACTTCCGTTTGCGACCGGAAGTAGGAATGACAAAAAATGAAGGATGTTCGGCACATCTACATGTGATGCTCTTTCATGTCCATGAGTTTCATTGTCATATCTTTAGCCGTTTTCGAGAAAAGTAGTGTACAAAAATCCATTTAAAAAATACAAATTTCCCCCAAAATCGCGAATGGAAGCAAAT